AAAAATTATTTTGTTCAAATTGAACATATATAATTTTTTATACAAGTTAAAAACACTCGCCAAATGACATTGTGGCCAAGTTATAATTCAAAAGAAGAGTCCGAGTTCAAATTTTTACAATTGCATTAAAACAATTAAAACTTAGAGTGATGCTTGGAGTACAAGCAATTTTTCTATAGGGAGTTTACAGGCAAGACATATGGTGGGGTCCGCACAATTTTTTTAAAATACATGTGGGGCCCGCCCCCTTGGGAGGGGCCTGTAAGGCTCCTGTTAAAACTGCCCCTGTACATGGGGAATTAGCCTAAAACTTAATATATATTATTATGTTAACATTAATATCAAACTCAAGAAGTGCCCTAATGGTAAAGAATCCAATAATCTCTAAGGAGAGTCACGGGTTCGACTCCCTCCTCCCTATTGCCATTAAGTTTGGTAAGAATTGTAAAACTAAAAATATACAATTGGGAATCGAACCAGAGACATCTAATATGAATTGCAAGCTTTATCAAACTGAACTAAACGAGGCGTTTGAAAATGAAATGAAATGCCAGTTATATTAGCTAAAAATTTATCTATTGTCAAAAAAAAAATGTTCCCGACGGATCTAGCAGGGACGGTCGCCGGAGCTTGCCAAATGCTAGGTATGCCCCTGGCTGGATGGCCGCATCACCTAGGACGGTGCAATTTTCCTATTCAAGTTTTTTCTCTTATTTTTTCCAAGGCCCATGTCACCTTGAACAATTAGTCAAACAAAATTAATGAGCTGTCTACGGTAGGGATGACAAAAAAAATCGACAAACCCGATATTCACGGGGCTTTAATCGGGTATTCGGGTCTGGGATGGGACGAGTAACTTCGCCCCAAGGCGGGTACTGGTAACGGGAACCCCATCCGTTTAATTTTTTTTTTTTTTGAATTCAATACTTTAAATGAAAAATTTCATGAAATTTCATTAGTTTTAATAGAAAATGGCAACTAAGATTATCTAAAAAAATATGACAAACAATAAACATCTTAGGTTACCAAATATATTTGAATAATTTAACTTTTAGAAATAAATTAAAAATTAAAAAATGTATTATTATCTCACTATAATGAATGAGGACAATAAAATGAAAAGACAAAAACTTAAAAAAATTAAATAGGATAGTAAATGGTGCAAGGGCCCCGCCCTGCGTTGCCTTAAACGGGGTAACGAGGTGGGGACGAGGCGGAAAATTCCTTAGCGGGGCGGGGAAGGTTGCCCCGACCCTGCTCTACCCCGCCCCATTGCTATCCCTAGCCTACGTAATAATTTCTTTCATAGTTGTCGGTAAATTTCACAAATTCAATACCTCTGCAGATCATTCCGTCGAAAAAACAGAAAATGCATGAGAGAAATTCATGCAATAATAGACTAGTAGTCGTCGAGTGGACTGTGTAGTGGGGTCATAAAGTGTTTTAACGTATTGCATAGCTACTATGTTACACCAAGTGTCGCTTGACCAAAAGAAATGAGGTAAAGTGGAATACATGCACAATGCGGTAAAACTTACAGACACTCACAATAGGGGATGGGTGGGTGGGATTTTTAGGCATTTTTTTATCAATGCAGGACCCACCAATGTGAGTGTATGTAAAGATTTTGTAAAAATATTTTATGTACACCAAATAAAGCTCCTTTGATTTTGATAGTTGTGCTTATTGCATCGCAACTTGTACCACTTTGGCCTTTAAACTTTTAAAATTTTTTACCTATTATCATTGGTGCTATAACACAAATCTAAATGACATGATGTGATTGATTCAATAAAAGTATAATTAAAGAATTATTCTACGTATACATCATTACACCCTAATGTCTAAGTGGCTAGTAAATGATGAAATGCCACTTGGACATAACGTCAACCCTGATGTACATATAGCAAAAATCATAATTTAATAATTCATTTAATTGTATTTCTCATTTAATATCTCATTAGTGCCACCGAGATTGATGATTTAACAATTAATACGAGTGATACTAAATATTATTACCCTTAATAATTACGAGAGTATTGAGATATTGTTGGGGAAGAAAATATTTGTTGATAATAACGATGTCATAAATGACACAAAATAATAGTGAAATTTAGCCTCTGTTTCATTAAGCTAAAAAATTAAATTAAAATTTATGTTAAAGTTGACAAATAATTTTAGTCACATATTTAATGAGACCCACAGTTTTTACACCATATATATTATCATTTTTTTTTATTAAAATACACTAAAATATAATTGTCATCTAAATCAAACGGGGGATTAATCTCATTTATGTGATGCATTTCCTTTGACTTAGTTTTTAAACCTTCTTACTGAACTAAAAAAAAAAAAAAACTTTCCCAATGATTAGCCTAAAAAATATTTCAATCACCTCCTAATTAAAGTTTTCGACTTATATCACTATGTGCTTGCGCAAATAATCTATCATATATCACTTTTGTGGACCTGTACAATTGATCCAATACAATTCACTATGTCCATTGAAAATGAACACTGTCATTAATCTAAAATATAAATCATTAAATTAAAATTCTTATTTTAAAATGTACTTATTTACTCATAAGTAAGCTTGCTCCTTAATCTTTATAACTGAGATTGGCTCAGCCAGACACAAAGCAATAAAGAGCACAGGGTTTGTCCACGATACAATAATAAGGACCCAAGAATATGTTTCTTGAAAATCTTTTAGGGTCCATGAAAAGGTTATATCAATTAATGATGTCATAAATTAGACACTTTATGTCAATTATGATGAGTAGTAAGAGTATTATAGTGTTAGCGCGAAAAGTTGCTAATTAATTATGTCATAATTTAAGCAAATTATTACCTACGCTATAATTATTTTTCAATTATAACTAGTAGTGTTTTTATTCAACGTATGTTTGAGTCTTATTTTTGACTAAGAATGTATTTTGTAATAGTAAATTGATATATAATGTAGTTAAAAAATAAAATTTTTTTGATTTGCGTGTAATATTATTTTATTGAAACATATATGTTTGAAAAGAAAAGTGAAAAATGTATTTTGAAAATAATGAAAATCAAACAAGGGCTTAATAAATAATTTCATCAAATATAAAAGCTACTAGTAACACACATAGCATTGAATCCATACCATTTTGACATTTACAATATGACAATCCATCGATAACTCTTTTAGGGCGTGTTTGATGGAGATTATTGGAGAAAGAATGTATTTTAAATAGTGATATGATGAAAAATGTGTGATTGAAAAAGAAGGAAAATATGATGAGAACTGTGTGATTGAAAAAGAAGGAAAAGTTATTGATGTGATGAAAAATATTATTTTATTGAAGAATGTATCGATGAAAATGAGTAGAAGAATGAGAATGAGAATTAGAATGTGGCTCAAACAGAGACTTAATAATATTAAAAAAGAAAATTAAATTAAATTAAATTACTTTTTATTATTCTATATAGTATTCTCCCATAATGGTACACAACAAACTTTTAAGGCACGTCTGATGTGCCGTATTTAATCTATACCCGGCATTTCATGCAAGCAAGATTTCTTGGAAGGTCTTCTTGGCAGAAGCTGGCAATCCCACAATCACATTAATGCCACCTTTCATTTCTTTTCCATGAGATGCGAACACAATAACTTCCTTATCAGGCAAGCCTAGAGACCCTGACACAACAGGTTCTCCCCAACCAACAGCTATGGAAAGATAGCTTGGACCAGGTTGTAACCAGTAGGGTTCCGGACATAGATGGCCTGGCTCGAGTTACCTCAAAATAGTCTACAGCAGATCTCATGTAACAGTCTGCAAGAAAATTAAGAATTATAATTTGTTTCAATTCAAACAACAGAAATTACTTATATATAAAGACTTTAGAACTTGAGTTAAATGACTGAAATGAAACTTCGGTACAAGTAGACGGATAACTATGGCTTTTACCCTAGAAATCCAGTATTAAGAACAAGAAAGATATAGCCAAGTTCTAGACTATCGACGGTAAAGGAAATTAAGGGCGCGTTTGGCATGTCTTTTGAAAAGTCAAAACGAAGCTACTTTTAGACCCGTTTTGCTAATTTTATAAAAGTATTTCTGATAGTTAGAAGGGCTTTTAGAGGAAGCCAGTCCAATGTGACTTCCTCCAAAATCATTTTCGGAATAGGAAGTGCGTTTAAAAATCAGTTTTCAAATAAAAATTAAGATAACGTTCCGTAAAAGCTCTTTCACAATAAGCAAAAGTTATGCAAAATGGGCAATAAATGTTGTATGTAATAGTCGAGATTACCTGGGACCATTTGAACTACATCAGAGACTAGTTTCACTGCAAATGAAAGATGATTTTTCACTAGATCACCTGCACTACAAAATGAATATGTAACACAATTCCATTGCTAAAGAATCCCTGTGGGAGTGGTGGATCAAATCTCGACCGGCCATCAACTACGAAAAGGAGTTTCGTCCGTTGATAAGGCTTCAGTTTTTTTTTTATAATCCTAGATGTCTGGGCCAACTTGCACGCACCTCGACTAATCCAATAGGACTCTGAAATTTACGGCCGGGTACTCATCTCAGTGGTCATGAGGGGATTCGAACAGGTAACCATTGGGGAGCAAATCCAAGGCTCGATCAATTGAGCAACCCCTCAAAGTTAATAAAACTTCAGTTTTAATGCTTGACTACGAGATTTCCAAACAAAAGCCGTAATAGCTTCAAATTTGGAGCATTTATGAAGATTTCCATCCTCCAAGGCTTTCTTTCTGAGATTCTCAAGCTTTTCGGGGTCAAAATGAAAGGATTTGCAAATGATTTCTTGTTTGTAAAGTTGAGAAGTGTTTGATAAGAACCTGCTTCATTTTAGGTCTAAATTCTTCTCTTTTATGATCTTCAATATCAGAAAATTCATGGTGGGGAAATTCAATCTGGGGCAGGGGCGGATATAGGGACGGTCCGAGCAATGCTACAGCTTGTCCCTCCAGTACACTATACTAATGAAATGAAACCATTTGCGAACCCGCTCCATACTAAGCCCCTCTTTGGTTTGAATTAAAATCTCAAGTCAAAGTCAATAATTAATTTTAACAACTAATTTTTTGGAACCCACAACTTTTTAACCACGCATTTCATCAATTTCTATCAAAATTTACTAAAAATCTGATTTTAATCTCTACCAAATAGGGACAAAATGAATGGCCCAAAGCAGTGGTGGAGTCAGGATTTTAAGCGGTGACAAAAAACGTTAAGGGGCAAAAATATGTGTTATGTTATAAAAATTCAAAATTTCTACATAGAATTTAAAAATGTTGCGGGCGGTTGCCAATCCCAGCTCCCTCTAGACTCGCCTCTGTCCTAAAGTAGAGAGAGTTATTTTGACAATCGCGTGATTCTAGTTGGGAGGAATTTTAAAGAAAGCAACTTACTTGAGCCACCATGGGAGGAATTTCCAGTATATTTTCAGCACCAGGATTATCATAAACAAGCTGACAAAGCATCCCATTATGAGGCTTCGTAATATCACCTAAATCTTCGAGTTTACAATCCGCTTCGGCCGCCACAAACACTGCCCCTCTGGCCGTGCAATCCACCGCAAGTTTCTTATCCGAACTGATCGCAAGCCGCCCTGCAAGCGGGTAGAAATGCACAAGAACTCTAGACAGTGAGTCCTTGATTATTTCTACACCATTTTCATTGCTTCCCTCTTCAGATTTGAAGCCGTAAACTGTTCGCGTTGTGACAGCAACGTTTTGATCCAAGTTGCAGAGGAAATATAGGCCGGTCGGGCAAGGCCGTACCTGTGTTTCGTAGGGCCTGAGGCGAACTTCAGAAGTTTGGCTCCTAAGTCATGGCAAACAATTTACAAAGGGAAGATACATGGAATAACAACTACAAGCATTCTGCCAAAATTCAAAGAAGTTGGCTTGACTAGAAATGGAAGAATATATAGGATAATATAAACATCTACAAATAAAGTGCAAAATGATGGCATGAAATCAAACAAAATGAATAAAATACAGCTCCAACTGAGAACAATGTGCATACAGAATATCATTAGTCAGCAGAGAGCAAAATATCATGCCCGCAGGTAGATTCTCCGCCTAAACCTTCCAAAATATTTTCAACTACTCATAAACAGTAACAAGCCGTCAACACGTTAAATAAACCCAGGAAGATAGAACAAACTGAAGCAAAACCAAATCTACCAACACTTCGCAAATTAAAAGAACAGAAAAAAAAAATAAAATCTCAAACTCCGCCTTTTATCTACATTTATCTTCTTACTTAACCTTGTCAATTTATTCAATGACTGACTGCAGAGAACACTTGTAACGCCCCGAAAATTCGTTATAGTCGTTAATATTCGAAATTTGGACCGTATGGTGAGAAGTCGAATATCTAAGGACCTAATTTCTTAGTCTATATTGTTTAGGGACCAAAGTGTGAA